GGGTCGCAAGGACCACCGCCACTTATGGGAAGCAGTGTCATTTGGACAGGGGAGGAGACAGTTCCAAGTGGACACAAGGCAAGCAGAACCAGGACACGGCAGAAATCACAGTTGCAACTTACGCGGCGCTGGCTGGACAGGAGCTTGGTCCCAGGGTGGACTGTGTGGCTTTGGAAGACGGCGATCCCCACAAGGAGGAGCTCGAGCAAAGCTGTGACCGCCTGGGGGTTCTACAGCGGGTAGATGACCACCCAAATGCGTGGCAGACCCCACTAACCCTGGTGGGCCCCCTCTTCATGCTGCCCTGTTTTCTCCCCGGTATCTGAGGTGACAGGGGGCCAGCAGCTCTGGAGTCCTCTTTCCTGAGTGTCTTTATGAGGTATGATAAAAAATACAGTGAATTCTGCTGCAGAAAGTCAGCTGATAAACACTCCTCATCCACCTTACTCACCGGATCTGGTGCCATGTGCCCACCGACTCTTCCCCAAAAAGTCAACACGATTGAAAAAAGTCAATATTTTGAGTGGATTCAGAACATCAAGGTAGCCATAATGGTGCAAGGAAAGACCCTCAGGAAAGAGGAGGCCAGAGCTGCTTCAGAAAGTGTCAAGAATGCGGGATGTGTGTGTTCAAATGGAAGAGGAGAGTATTGAGGGGGATCGATGGCAATGTGTCATTTACTGCAATAAATTTAAAAAAGGTAAACACTGTTCACTGTTGGTTTTGATTCATCATTTAAGTGAGGTGCTGATTTCTCTCTTCTTGGCTCCCGTCTAACGATGTGTTTCTGTTGGGTCCCAATGGTGAGCATTACAGCAAGCAGCCTTGGGATAGGGCACAAGGAGAACCTCTCTGGAGACATGGGCTGCAGGGTCGCTTCCAAACTTGTGGCTTTCTGACCTTGCGTTCCTATTCCTCGTTCACTCCTGCGCCTTCCTGCCACAGTCTCTGTCTCGGGTTGAATGGTGGCCTCAGAGACATTGAGTCCTAGCTCCTGGGACGTGCACAGGAGCTCTTACATGGGAAACGTCTCTGCGGGTTTAAAGAAGGGAAGAAAAGAATCCCCGGATCGGAGCGGGCCTTACCTCAGGGCTGCCCTCTTGTGAGACTTGACACTGTGGCTGCACACCCAGGACACAGAAGGATACTGCATGCGACCGTCATGGCAGAGCTTGGGTCAATGCACTGGGGGGCAGCTGCCAGATGCCAGAAGAGGCAAAGCAGGTGGCATCCAGGAATGCTGAGAGAATATTTCTGGGCCACCTCACTTAGGGTATTCCTATGGCAGCCCCAGGAAATGATGAAGAGCATGGGTTTGGGGGGCCTGGGGACCAGTTCCTTTCTGCTCCAGGCCAGTCCTCTCCCTGGCTCCCTGGATACAGTGTCTGCCACACACAGGTCTTCAGTGTGCTTTGTCCCTGTCACTTGGCGCTCCCCAGCTGCCACCTCTGCGTGCACCCTCTTCTCCCTCTGCACGGCCCCCTGCTGCTTCTGTCTGCAGCAATCTGCTCCCCTGAAGTGCTTAACACTCAGCTCCTTTCCTCCTCCTTAAGGCAAGCCCTGCCTGCTTTGCTGCTCACTGGAAGTTATTTTCCCTCTGAGTCCTGGAGTATTCAGTTGTTTGTTTGTTTGCTTGCTTGTTTTTTTGAGACAACATCTCACTTTGTAGTTCAGGCTGGCCTTGAAGTCAATGTGTAGCCCAGGCTGGCTTTGAACTCCTGGTGATCCTCTTGCCTCAGCCTCCTGAGAGCTGGGATTACAGGCATGTCTGCTCTTCGGGTTGTTCTGTTTAGCAGGAGGAAGGTGTCCCGAACCAAGGCTCGGGCACAGACTTTGGCTTGGCTACTCATCATCTGGCCATCTCATGGCCTCTGTTTCTCATTTGTGAACCCAGAGGTCAGGCCAGCCAGGTTATCCTGTGGGGCCCTTCTGGTTCTAGCAGCCCGAGTCTCTGCAGTCCCATCACTGTGAAAGGCTGCACGCGGTCTTCGCTGACCCTACATCGACACGATGGCAGCGCTGTGCTAGCAGCGGACACAGTGGGTAAAGTGTCCCTGCCCCCTAGGAGCACACAGTCTAGCAGAGGAACAGAGTTAAACGCTCTTAAAAGTGAGTAGGAGGAGCCTGGTGTGGTGGTACACACCTGTTAGTCCTGGTACGCAGGAGACTGAGGCAGGAGGATTGCTATGAGTTTGTGGCCAAACCGAGGTTACATAGTGAGCTCAGGCCCAGCCTACATGACATAGGGAGACCCTGTCTCAAAAAATGAAAACAAAATATATATATATATTTTGATTCAGCTCAACATCCATTGTGCATCTCAATGCTGAAAAGCCTCACATGGCTGGTGATGACCCTACCAGCTAGCGTGGGCCAGAGTGCTCCGTCCTCTCTGTGCAGCTGCCCCTGTCTCATTGGAGGCTGTCAGTGACACACTTTCTTGGTCATATATTTTGTGTTTTTGAGACAGGGTCTTCCTATGTAATTCAGGCTGCCTGAACTCAAAGTGATCCTCCTGCCTCAGCCTCCTGTGCTAGGATCATAGATGTACACCACCATGCCTGGCTGGGCCTGTGTGTCTAAACCAGCCCCTTTGCACTGCGAAAGCTGTCTCATTGTCTCAGAATTATCTCTGCACAATCTTTTATTAGTTGTTTGTTGATTATCTGCCTCATCTGCCTATAAATCCCACCAAAGCAAACACCTTTGTCTTCTTTACTGCTCTTCCTTTCCCCTCAACCCCTCACAGGAGAGTTGACTCTCAGCAAACATCTGTGGGAAGCTTTGAAGATTCCAGATTCCTCATTTGTCATCTCTAAAGTTGACGCCCATTCCGCGGAAGGTTGGGGGAGGGCGGTGGAGCGGGAGGAGTCGCTCCAGAGGCTTCTGTGGCAGGAAAGGCGGACCTCAATGCCAACTTGGGGGTGGAACTGCTGAGGTCACAGCGTTTCCTTCCAGCTGTGACTTGGCTATCTGTCCATCCAACCACTGGCCTGGATGGTTTTATGGGAAGTCATCCCACCGAGTGGCGCTTCTGCTTGGTACCACTAGATGGCGCCACGTCACAAAAAGTAGTCTCAGTGTGGGCGGTTTCCCAGCAGATTCTACAGAGGTGCAGCGGCAGCGCGGCCCCAGCCTCTGATCTCGGAGCTGGCGTCCTCAGGAGCTCTCAGCGGGGGTGGCCAGCCCGGCGGGGTGGAGGCGGCCGGCTCCGCTCCTGGGTCTCAGCGCAGGTCTGGCCCGTGAGTCACGGCCGGGTGTTCACATTTGCCTAAGACCTGCCTGCTCCCTGCGGTGAAGCCAGCTTACTAAAGGGGCAGTCGAGGCGTGACCCTGGCGGTGGTGACTGGGGCTGTGTGTCCGCGACTCTGTCCTTTCTCTGCAGAGCTTCCTGACCCTGGGCCAGGTCAGGCCATTCCACCTTCTGAAAGCAGAGGCTCGGAAATCCATTAGCAGGAAAGCTTCAGCTTTGCCGGGGGAAACTTTCTCTTTTTATTGTTACAACACTAAACTCCATCCTCCCCCCTGCATGCGCGAGTGCATTTTTAACGCTTCTGTGATTTTGTTGTCTTTTATACACAGAAAGCCCAGCAGGCCTTCCTGTTTGGGGAAATTCTGTTCCCCCTTCAAATGTCACCACTGCCAGGAACCCTCTTCTGGTTTCCTTAGTCACGAGCAAGTCCTTCTCCTCCCAGTTTCCCATAGTATTTTGGGTCTTTCTCAGAGCATGGAACCCACTTGTCTTCCTTTCCCTCTTCTCCTCCTCCTTTTCCTCGTTGTGCTTCTGAGACAAGGTCTCACTATGTAGCCCAGCCTGTTCTCAAACTTGCAGAGGTTCCCCTGCCTCGGCCTCCTGAGTGCTGGACTTACAGACTTGTCCACCACACCTGGCCTTGAAGTCCTCGTGCTTTGGCTGAGCAGACAGAGCGTAGAGGCAGGAAGGTAGTTCAGGAGCCCAGCCATGAGCTAGCGAGGGACATCGCCCAGCTGGCACCAAAAGCAGCATGATTAATGCAGTCATCCCTCCCATGGGAGGGTGGCCAGGCATTCTTTGACACTCAAATAACAAATGCCATTTGTAGTTTTACTAGGAATGCTCATCCCAAATGTGCCAATGATATAATAAAACTGAGTGCCTGGCCTGCCCGGGTAAACTTCGGCCTTCCTGGGTAAACTGAGGTCTCTCCACACACAGCAGCACTGAAAGCCATGCTCCTCTCAGGCACCCACTGGAGGGCTCAGAGCAGGAAACACCGCTGGGGCCTTGGGAGCCGGGAGCACCTCACTCCCTGACTGTAAACAGCACTGGGGCTCAGCGCTCACTTTTCACTACTTGCTGTTTATTTGTCGGTGCCAGGCACCAAGTTTGTTAAAAGATAAGTCTTTGCCTCTCTTCTTAGTTTTTTGGTTTGTTTTGTTTTTTCCTTCCTGAGTCAAGATTTCACTATAAAGTCCAGGCTGGCCTTGAACTTTGGCAATCCTCCTGCCTCAGCCTCCCAACTGCTGGGATTAGGGGACTTGCTTTCTTTAAAAAAAAATCCAATTCTGAAAATAACTCTCCAGGGATTCTCAGAAAGCTGAGCTGCCCCTAAAGGAAGACAATCACCATTTGTCCAGCTTTTCTGTACTGGAAATGATAGTCTACAACCTCACCTTGCCTGCCTCCCCCAGAAGTTTCGATCTAGGCTCTAGGCGTAAATTTATTCAGTGAGTTGCAATTCAGCTTTGGGGGTGGAGTGTCAGAGGGCAAGTTCCTTTTGCTGCGGGGTAATCCTACATCTTCGTGGTTTCTGTAGATAAAAGAGATGCTGATAGATTTAGGATATAATTGGAGCATTGGCTTGGTCTCTTTCTGCCCTCGACCACGGGCTGCAACCAGGTCCCTTTAAGAGACCAGAAATCCGTCGGGCGTTGCAGCCCAGAGTGGAGTCTCTCCTCTGCTCCTCCCCTGTCCCCGCGCGCGAATGGTTCGCGCCGGCCTATATTTACCCGAGCTCTCGCTCCCGGACGGCAAGGATGTGAGGCTGGCGAGCCGGCTGCCGCGCACAGGATCGGACGCTGCAAAGAAGGGCAATCAATCCAGGACAGCCGGGAGCGGAGCGCGGCTTCCCCGGGAGCGAACATGAGGTAGCGGCGTCTCTGAGCCGACATGCGCGCGCCCCGCCCTCGGAGCCCCGCTCTGCCCAAGCGGCGCCGGCCGGGACAGTGAGCTCCGGCCCGAGCGGGATGCAGTGAGCGGCGCGGTCGCTGCGCGGGGCCCAAGGGCCACCCGGACTCCGTCACCCTCGGTCAGCTGCCAATCTTGGGACCTGCCCCGCAGCGGCACGCACTCTCCAACAGCCCTTGCGGGTGGGGTGTCTGGCCCCTGGGCGGGCTGTAGCAGAGTCCCCGAGGTTCCCGGCCGGGGCCCGAGGTGCCGGGTGCGGGCCTGATCGCCGTCTCCGGAGAGTTCCTGCGACTCGGCGCCTCATCCAGGCTGCGCGGTCGGGGCGCCCCTATTTATCTACATGGGCGCATTTGGGCTTTTTCGGAGACATTTTCCGCTCCACACTCCTTCCCCTTTCTCTCGTGCTGTCGTTCGCCTGAGACTTGCCCTCGTTCTTATCTAAACCGGGGTGATACTGTGCGCGCGCGCGCTCCGGCGCCCTCAACCCCCTTTGCACCCTCGAAGCTAAATATTTTTTTCTCTCTTAAAAACTGGACTCCATCTCCTGTGGAGTGCCCAAGTACCCTCGGTCCCCCTCTGCCTGCTCCCCAGGGCCGCTCCCAGCAGAGTTTTATTTTTCAATCTTGCCCAGGCCAAGCCCGGCCGGGGCTGGTGGCTCTGCGGGGCTCTGCCGCGCCGCCCAGCCACGCCGGGGCGCCCTTCGGAGATGCTGCCGTGGAAGAGGCACAAGTTCGAGCTGTTGGCCGAGGCGCCGCCGCGGCAGGCGTCCAAGCCCAAGGGCTACGCCGTGAGCCTGCATTACTCTGCGCTCAGCTCGCTAGCGCGCGCCTGCCCCGAAGGCGCACTCAGCCGCGTGGGCAGCATGTTCCGCTCCAAGCGCAAGAAGCTGCACATCACCAGCGAGGACCCCACGTACACCGTGCTCTATCTGGGTAACGCCACCACCATCCAGGCGCGCGGCGACGGCTGCACCGACCTGGCGGTGGGCAAGATCTGGAGCAAGAGCGAGGCGGGCCGCCAGGGCACGAAGATGAAACTGACGGTGAGCGCGCAAGGGATCCGCATGGTGCACGCGGAGGAACGCGCGCTGCGCCGCCCGGGCCACCTCTACCTGCTGCACCGCGTCACCTACTGCGTGGCGGACGCGCGACTGCCCAAGGTCTTTGCCTGGGTGTACCGGCACGAGCTGAAGCACAAGGCGGTGATGCTGCGCTGCCACGCCGTGCTGGTGTCCAAGCCTGAGAAGGCACAGGCCATGGCCTTGCTGCTGTACCAGACGTCGGCCAACGCGCTGGCGGAGTTTAAGCGCCTCAAGCGGCGGGACGACGCACGCCATCAGCAGCAGGAGCTGGTAGGGGCGCACACTATCCCCCTGGTGCCGCTGCGCAAGCTGCTGCTGCACGGACCTTGCTGCTACAAACCCCCGGTGGAGCGCAGCCGCAGTGCCCCCAAATTGGGCTCCATCACCGAGGACCTGCTTGGCGAGCAGCAAGAGCAGGAGGAGGAGGAGGAGGAGCACCTGCAGGGCTGCCTGGAAGAGGAGGACGAGGAAGAGAACGACGGCGAAGAAGAGCAGGACCGTGAGAGGCAGCGGGACCCAGCGCAGGAGGGTGGCGATGAGCAGAGCGCACTGGTGGTGGCCATGCACTTAGAGTGCGGGGACTTGCTGGACACAGTGCAGAATGGCCACGAGGAGGCGCTGGGCGGCGGGGCTGGGATGCCAATTCAGCTGCCAGATGAAGGTGCCTCCTCTGATATGAAGGCCCAGTTGTCGCAACTGATTAGCGACCTGGGCGAGCTCAGCTTTGGCAACGATGTACGCACCCTGCAGGCAGACTTGCGGGTAACGCGCCTGCTGTCCGGCGAGAGCACGGGCAGCGAGAGCTCTATTGAGGGCGGGGGCCCCGACGCCACCTCAGCCACCGCCGGCAACCCGGTCGGCGCCACCGACAGCAGTGCCAGCCCCAACCCCGACGCGCCCCACTCGGGCTGAGCTCCAGCGGACTCTGCCGTGCGCTCCCAGCACCCGACAGTGACTCCTCAACCGCGGTCCCAACGACCTCCCTCTCCCCAATCCACCCCAGGAAAGGGGAACCGGGATGCCTGCCTCGGCCGGGGAGGGCAGGATTGGAGTTCTCCATGGTTGCTTCCTCCCCAACCTGCACCGCTACACTCTGGCTGCTCCGTTTGAGGTGGCTCAGATTGCTCGCGGAGATGTGGGGAGATGAAAGAGAAAACCCTAAAAGTAGAGGGAAGCCCTGTAGGGTGGGGAGGAGGAGAGGCTGCTGAAGGATTGGAAAAGTCCGGCCAGGCAGCCAGTTTCCTGTTTGTGAGGCCGCGGGGCCGCGAGGGGCGGGTTTAACTTCCTCCGACCCCCGCCCTGCCGGCCGCTCTGCACTGTCATTGACACCTACTTTAAAAAGTCGCGGTCACAACATCAAGCCTTTAATACCACCCCAAACCCCAGTTCTTTTTTTGGTGTTAAGAGCTTGGGCTGTTTATCTTCGACTCAGAGTCTTGAGAATCTGCCAAATTCCTCAAATAATTGTTTGGGGAGTGGGTCATGAAAGAAAGTTGCATTTTGTTTACAAAGACATCTAATACCTTTCAAAAAGGAGTTTTCCTTTAGAAACACACATCTTCCTCCCCTTGCCCCAACGATCTCACTCTGTGATGCTGTGTAAAATATTTTTGCACTGTTGTGAAATATTTTTGACTTTTTTTTGTACATAACTGTGTTCTCAGAGCTGAATGTTTATATATCTCTTTTGCTGTGCAAAAGAAACATGTAAAATGTTGTTCAGTTGTATATACAGAAATGTGGATAAAACATTTTGTTATTTTTGGAGTTGCATGGTTCTGGTTCTGTTGGCACACAGGTGGGGACTGCAATAAAGAGGATGATGTCACACAGCAGGTGAGCGTCTGGAGCTACTGCCCAGGGTGTATGGTGGGGAGGTGGCCGAGGGACAAGTGTGTCCAGCCCTGGACTATGGTGAGTCCTGGACCTTCCTGGACTGCTCTACTTTGGGTGCTGAGTCCCCAGCGTATTCCATGTTTTTCACTTAGTGAGTTGTGCGAATGTGAACCTTCTCTGGTCTTTCTTTTCTGCTTTTCTTTTTGAGGCACGGTCTCACTGTGCAGTTCTGTAACCCAACCTGGTTTTAAATTCACAAGGATCCTCCTGCCTCAGCCTCCTAAGTGCTGGAATTACAGGCATGTGCCGCCACACCTGGCTCTCTCTGGTCTTTCTGATTTAATTAAAACAAAAACAATTTTTAAAATTTAATTTTTGGCGCGGCCAGCAGGAGTTGTTGTGAGGCTGTGTAAGGAGGGTGAGGTGCAGCTCTGCCGAGATGTTGTGGGTTACCCTCCCGGTCAAGGAGGAGGCTACAACATAATCTTTTCCTTTACGAGTGCGGATGGAAAGGGAGCGGAGAGCTCTCGGAGGAGCAGGGCTTCTCTGCTTTTCCTGGAAGGAAAACCAAGCCAGGGAAGAGCTGTGAGTGCCAGCCCTGCCTGCGTCACTGTGATACCTGGTGTCACTGCAGGCACGTGGGGTGGGCAGGTGGCAGAGCCCATTCGCATCCGTCTGCTTCCCAGCCTGGCAGCGATGTGGAGGGCAAGGCAGGGGGCTGTGCGCCTGTGTGTGCTGCTGGAGAGCGTTCAGGTTTCCTGTGTGCTTGTTTCTCTTGTAAACTCCAAGCAAATGTCTGTGGTTGGGCTCCACCCAGTCAGCTGCAAGTCTGGAGCAGATGCTGCCCAAACTGTGCCTTCTCCAGATTCGTTTCCATTTGCCCTTTTTGGCTTCCTTTCCTGTGTCACTGAACAGACCTCAATGCTGGCCTTCCCCGTGTCCTGGGCCACTCTGTTCTCTTTTTATCACAAGCGTGTTTGGAGCAGCCCAAAAGGAGATCCTGAGGAGTCTGGAATTCACTGCAACCTGGAGGAACGGAGGAGGAAGATTTTCTTCCTACTTAGTGGGAGTGGTTTAGGGCTAAAACTCTTGGGAAGAAAAGGTGCCAAAGGAGAGGGTGGGAAATAGCTTTACCCATATTTGACGTGTGCCTAGGGATGGTAAGTGTCGGGGCAGGCCTTTGAGTCTATTCTGTTCTGGTTTGCTAGAGTCCTTGTTCTTGGTGAGCACCTCCGATGCACATCATTGACTGATGGTTTAAGGTGTCCAGGTTGGGGGCTGGGGATTTAGCTCAGCGGCATAAGGGCCTGCCTTGCAAGCAGGCAGTCGTGAGTTCGATCCCCGGTACTGAAAAAGATTTAAAAAAAAAAAAATACCCAGGTTATCTAGGTTGGTGATGCATGCCTGTAATTCTAGCACTCAAGAGGCTGAGGCAGGAGGATCACTGTGAGTTTGAGGTCAGTCTGGGCTACACAGTGAATGAACTCAAGGCCAGCCTGAAGTGTACTTTGAAACCTTGTCTCAAAAAACAAAAGCAAAAGCCATAAAACAGTGGGAGGAATACAGCTGACAGTTGGGGCGAGGTGAGGTGCATGTGCTTTCATTCCTAACCCACGTGCCCAGCGACCAAACCCGGCTCAGTGTTCATCTCTAATGGGCGGAGCTAGGGAGCTACATCATCACGTCCTCACGCTCAAACCAACCCCACCAGTAACCGTGAGGCCACTTCTGCTTTAAAGCCTGGGTTTTCTACTTACCTGGTTTATAAATAGGAAAAGGAGGCTATGCGGAGGGGGAAGAGAAAAGCAGATTGGTAAAGAACCATGTCCCTTCCTCCCTGGCCCTGGTGGCTACCCCTCCGTCCCCCTCCTCTCTGCTTTTTGGCCCCTGTCCTGGCCACACCCCAGGGCTCTGGCCTGATGTAATTCTAGAAGAGAGGGAAGGTGATACACAATTCACCTCCCTACGTCTCAGCCTCCAGGGACACTATTACTCGAGTAAGAAGAGATGTGTTTCAAGTAAAAAAAAAAATATAGCCTGCACCTGGCACTCCCAGAGATGAGAGCGGTGTGACAAAAGCAGAGCTTGGGGGCGTGATGAAGGACACGGTCCAGAATCGCCCGAGTCTGGTTTGGTTTAGCTCTGCCTTCCTGCAAGGTGAGGATCCTGTTTCTCCTTTAGGTAACCTGATGGTGCCTTAAACGCAGGGAGATGCTCTGGGCGCTCTGGGTGTTCTTTCCCAGCCTCCGAGATCCTCTGTGTCCAGCAGGGTGGTCCTGACTGGGCAAGCTGCCAAGTGACTTCTGGTGACTGGAGAGGGTGGCCGAGGTGGCTGCTTGAATCCACGGAGCTCACTGCCTTCGTCAGCTTCTGTTAGCACAAACATGGTGGCTTGAGTCTGCAACCTGTGTGCATGCTGAGGAGGAGGGGAAGATAAACAGTAGTGTGACAGCCCGATCAGCTGTCACTGCGGGGAAGCTGCCCCCTTCATCACACCTGGCTGCAGGGGAAGAAAACGGCCTTTCCCTGCCCCACGCTCTGTGGCTGTGTGGCACCACAGCTTTTAAACAGATGAGATTTTAAACAATTTCTCTCCAGAGGATAGAGCTGTGTCTCACGGCCCTGCTGGTGGAGAGAGAGTTACCAGGCTGGGAGAATCTACCCCAGGACCTCACTGGAGATTGCAAAACCTCCCTGGAGCCACTGGGTACCACCAGGGACAATAATTCCTCTGGAGTGAGCTGCTGTCTTTCTAATAGGATTTAGTAATTTCATAATTGAACCTCACCTTGTGCTGTGGTGGGCATGGGTGGCCTTGTGTTGGCTGGGAAGGCAGTGTGACCGGCCTGAGATGTGCATGGACCTCAGAGGCCAGAGCTATACAGGGCTCTAGGTGGGCAGGAGGCTGCTGATCCAGGGCCCACAGTGTTCTCTGCCATGGCTCTCTGAATACAGCCACAGCTGGGTCTGGTTTGCTTGTTAGCTGGAGCCAGTATTGATCCATGGAACCAAATTTGATTTTGTTTGCTTTGGTTTTTTTGTTTTTGAGACAGGGTCTTGCCAAGTAGCCCAGGCTGGCCTGGCCTTGAACTCACAGTGACCCTCCTGCCTCAGCCTCCCAAATGCTACAATGAGCCACCTCTTTCTGAGTGTTGGGGATTGAACCCAAGGCCTGCAGGATGGTGGAGAAGGACTCTACGCCTGAGCTGCACCCCGGGCTTTGGTTCTTGTTCCTGACTCCCACAGAGAGCAGCCCTTCTGACAGCCTCCTTTCCTGTCCCACTCTTAACCCACTTCCTGTTAATACGTTCTCCCCTCTGGCTTCTCCTGCTGCTCAGCCCCCTCCTCCCTGGCCCTGCTTCATTCTTCCTTTCCACAAACACTGCTCAGACATGAAAGCATCGAAAAGCAAAGAAAGCCCACTTTAAAAATTCTTAAATTATTTTATGGCTGTGTCAGATCGAATCCAGAGCCTCGTCCATGCCGGGCAGTTGCTCAACCACTGAGCGGCGTCCCTAATCCCAGAAAGCCCAGACAGACACTGAGGGGAAAACAGACCAGGTGCCGGCCAGCACCACTCCAGCTTGAGACAGGCATACCTGGCCTTGTCACACACTTAGAGCTGAAGAAACTGAGTCGCAGAGGGCTGATGTCCTGTCAAGGTCACCCAGGAGGGACCAGAATCCTGGTACTCAAACCTTCAGACCAAGACCAGTGCTCTTTCACTCTCTGGTTTTCAGGACTCGTAATTAGACTTTTAATAGTTTTGGGATAGCAGGAAGTGGCAGCTAAACTTCTATTTTCCCTGTTTTTAGTTTCCCACACTTTATGCTCAGTAGATCTTTTTTTGTTTTGTTCTGTTCTTTTTGGTACCGGGGATCGAACTTATGACCTCATGCTTGCCAGGCAGGCACGTCTGCCGCTGAGCTAAATCCCTGACACATGCTCAGTAGTTCTGGGTGGTAAATGTTGACGATACTGCTCCTCAGCACCTGTCTCCCCCTCGATGGCTGAGGATGAACTAGGTGCTCCGTACTGGCGGTTGAGAGGCCAAGTGTCTGCCTGCTGCTGCTGGTAGTGACTGGGGTGGCAGCCTCAGAAGGACCTTGTGTCCTGTGGTGCCGCAGTGAGACTTGGTGTGGTGAGAGCCTGCCCTGGACGAGCAGGTCTGTTCTGTGCTGGGAGAGTCCCATCTGCTGCCTCCTGGTAATTAATCACCGGTGTCCTTCCTGCTTGGCTGAATTCTCCAGCCACAGGCATGTGTCTTCTGTGTCTCTGATTCATCCCACTTAGCACCAGTGGGTGCTCAGAAAATGCTAAGGGAGGATGAAGAAATGATTCTGCTCTAGGTCAGGAGAACACGTCTGATAAATCACCTGGGGTCTGATACGGTCATCACCCAGATGCAGGAACAAGACTGGGATTGGTCCAACTCAACTCTGAGTGAGGTCACTTCAGTTCCTGGGATTTTCCTTGAAGCTTCCTAGACCTAGGGAACATAGGCCAGGTTCCTGAGATAGAAGAGGTGTTTTGGATTTAGAGCAAGCAGACTTTTTTTTTTTTTTTTGAGCCAGGGTCTCACTATGTAGTACAGTCTGGCCTCGGAATTCCCAGCAATCCTCCTGCCTCAGCCTCCTGAGTGCTGGTATTACAGGCATTCACCATCATGCCTGGTTAGAGCAGGATGGTTTATTTGCAACTGGCTTTGGGTGAAATTGAAGGCTTGTTTCTCATCGTTTCAGCTCTAAGGTCGTTGCCCAAATGCCTCCAACTTTGTGCAGGTGAAGACTCAAAGCAGGTAGTATGACACAATCTCTGAAGAGTCCATGGCCCGGACTCCCCGCCGCATGCTATGAAGCTTCCCTCTTCAGCCTCAGCGCCCTCACATGCAAGATAGGTGTCAGGGTTCAACAGCAGCAAGACTCCTCATGAAGCGAGAGTTAAGGTGCAGTGTATTTCAGGTTTGCCTTCCCTCAGTGGGGTACTTCTGACTGTGGGC